TTCCAGGTATGAGTTGTCTGATTAAATGAAGTAAAGGAGGTGACTTACGTATCATTTAAGCAATAGTAGTCCACTACTGAGAACCCAACTCCTCCTCATCTCTGTGTGTCACATCTGTAAAGAATATCTTCTTCAGATTCCTTCTTGGTAAAGGAATGCCCCATTGCAACAGTTCTATATTCCAAGGAATTTGAGTTAGAGAATTCAATTCACTACATGTATAACATTAATTCTGTGAGAAAATATGCCGTATGTAACTGTGGGTCAATGTGGATGATGGTATCAAATTTTACTAAGAATTAAAAGTGGTTTCTTAGAGGAAAGTAGCACTTTTTGGTCATTTCATGTATGTGATTTAGAAAACACACTGAACCGTAACCCTAGTTGCACCTATTGTCAGCACTGGAGGGAGAGCGCAAGGCTTGCCTCAGCCAAGCACTCTGACACCGAGCTCCATCTTGAGCTGTGCAGTTTCTTACAGTGCTACCGTTGTGCCATGCTGTAGGAAGTATGGCAGGTAATTGACAGCTGGCTTCTACAGTTCCATTCACCTTGTGACTTCTCATATTCCATGAGTAAAAATGGCTTCCTTTCATGTCACCGAAGACCAATGCCCAAGATGACAAGAAGGAAGATACCAACCACAAATACCATTTCCACTCCACTCTGTAGGACAAAGCAACTCACTTGGCCATCCTAGGGTAAAGAGGATGGAATTACAAATCTCTGAAAAAAGATTTTAAGACTTAATTTTATTTAACTAGGTGTAAGTGGGTATACAGCGGTGCAGGTACCTGTGAAAGCAAAGAGTGCCAGATACTTAAGACCTGGAGTTATGGATGCTTATAAGTCATCTGACATGGATGCTGCAAAGCAAAGCCGGTTTTCTGGAAGAGAAGAAAGTACTCTTAATTGCTAAGCCATCTCCCTAACCTCACAGAAATAGAAACTTTTTTTTTTTTTGTAAGAAGTGGTAGCTAAAAGGGTGTAGTTGTAAGAAGGGGAGGAATTTGTACCCACTTTCATTAATGAATTTTCCAAAGGTCTGCTTTGGAACACATAGGCAACTCCATTTGAGAAATTAAACAGGAAAAATAGTATGGTTACTTTATAGTCATGCTGAGACTAAATAACATTGAGACTAAATGTGTGTGTGTATGTATATATATCAAAGTCTGCCATATAAGTCTTCATCAAGTATGAATGAGAATGATAAGGATTTAACAGATTAGAATAATTAGTTGGGGAATCCATGAAGAACTTTGTTTTGGGGAAGTAAAATGTCAGAAGCACTATTTTTGCATGATTATTATGGTGCCTTTGAAAAGGTCAGTTTGCAACAAGGAGAGACTAGAGAAACAGGTAATTATTAGAATCTACTAGATGTAATAAAGACTGAATTGGAAGGAAAAAAGACTTGAAACAAAGACATTTTGTACAATGAATGACTAGTCTTAACTGATTTGATATGATAGAGGAAGTTTTAGAAGGGAAGAAGTAGAAAAAGTTACTCCCAATTCAGACATGTGCTAATAATAGTACACTAATACCAAGAATTAGGACATGGTAGAACATGAAGCAGATCTGATTCTCTTCTTCATGCATCTGATTTACAACTGTATAAACTGCACTATGCTGTGAATGAAAATGTTATAACTTCTTCAGAACACAAGTGTTCTATTTGTAACCTTGCATAGTCCTTTGTTTTCCCTATACTCTCTTGTATATGAAATAGTTCTTTCAAACCAGTGGTGAATGGCATTCTCTATCACATTTGTCCAATATAATGAAACATTTTCTTTTCAAACTTCTTTATTTATTTTTACTATTTCTTTTGCCCAGTATTTCTTGTTTTGGAGAAATTTGCAGGGCTAACATGATTCTATCTTCCCTTTCATAATAGAAGAACACAGGTCTCATTACTAGGAATGAGTCTTATAAAGTACAAACTTCCAGTAAATTCAAGCTGGTACAGTTAACTTCCTTAAGTGCACATAAAACATCATTCAGGAAGGACTTCTATTGGGAAGAGAAGCTTTTATGTCTATCAGTGGAATATTTAGACTTTACAGTGCTGTACTTGATAAGTAGCATTGTACTTCCTTCTCTCTTCTAGTAAGAAACATTACTTTTTGTGTGCCACACAGTTATTAGACACTGGAGGTACCATAGTGAAGAAGATAGAAGGGTTCCCACCTTCATGGAGCTCAGATTCAGTTGGGAAAAAGACAAAATGTAAATGTTAACAAATTCTATATCTTGGAAAACAATAGAATGAAAATGAGAAATAGGAGGTAGGATTTTGGAGAAAGGAAAGAAAAAGATCAAGCGACTAAAGCTGACCTTGGTGGAGATATGATAACTTCCAGAACAGACTATTATAACACTCATAAAGCAAAATTAGAAATTACAAATAAAATTATTGGAATTAATCTGCCTTTGTAAGGATTGGAATATAAGGCTAGAACACAAGCATATATTTCTGTTACCTGAGTAAAAAGCATATACTAGTTTGAACAAGTCCATTAATTATTCTGTTGTCAACTAAGTGAATAGCCCACACCTTAACAGATTCTCATGAAATTTATGAACACACACACACACACACACACACACACACACACACACACACACACACAAGACCTTAAAGCTTCTAAAGAGAAAGCAAAGTTACCAAAACAACATATGGCCTACAATGGACAAGACAGGCACTGTGACTGAAACTGAGTACTTTAAATGCTAGATGACAGTGGCAGTTCTGAAGGAACAATACTCTGAATTTAGGAGCGAAACCAAATTATGATTATTATACTCTATAGGAACCATGAAAAAGCAAATGAGGGGCTCAGTCAGTTAGGCTTGCTGTATACAAACATGAAGACCCAAGTTTAGATCTGTAGCACCCATACAAAGAGCCAGGGATGGTGGCCCACGCTGACCAGTTTCAGGTTAAATTGGATACAGTCTCAAAAACAAGCAGTAAAGTGGAGAGCAATAGGGGAAGAAAATTTGATACCAACCTCTGGGCTCTTCTCATGTACACATGGGGAATGGACTTACCCCCACACAAATGCACACAGGCATAAACATGTACACCCATGTATATCACACACAACTAATAGAAACAGAAAACTAAAAGAACATGTTAATGAGAAGAATTGTAGCAAAGCACTTGATTAATCCTAAAGAAAGTAAGACAGGGATCAGGGAAATATAAAACAAACATATATGAAGTCAACAAACCAATTGCTGAGCCTTTGAAAAAGTAAATCTGACAAACTCCTACTCAGACTCTTCAAAACAATCCAAGGTTGACTTGACCTTTATAAATACATTAATGCAACTTATCAGGGAAAAACGTAGTGATTTCAATAGGCTCAGAAAAAAAAAGTTATTTTGGCAAACTGGAAATATATCCTGGTAGACAATACACCAAAAACTCCTACAACATAGATCATTTTTAAAATTTTACTTTTCTATGTGGAGGTGTATGTATGTGTGCATCTGTACATTTATGGGTGGAGAGGAGAGGTTGATACTCATTGTCTTCTTCGCTACCTTTTCATTAGTTTTATATCACTTCTTTCCCTCCCCTTACTCTCCATGGAACTTCTGTGGTGCACCCCACTCTCAAGTTAATACCTATTTTTCTTTTGATTGAATTTGTTCAAAAAAAACCCACACAGCTATATGTGCACACAGAAATATATAACCTGCTGAGTTCATTTTTGTTGTGTGTATGAGGTTTCAAGGCTGAGTACTCTGTGTTGGAAAACAAATGAAGTAGCTCCCTATGCTCTCTTGACCTGGATACAGTTATGGTTTTCTGTGGTTGTCTCCATTTGCTCTTAAGAGAGCATTCTTTGACTTAATAGGTGGCCCTCACACAAAGGGAGGGTGTGTAGGACACAGTTCTGGAATTAGGCTGTAACTACAGTAGGTTGAGAGCCCCACTTTATCTTTTGAGGCAGGGGCTCCTGAAATTGGAGCTCATCAATTGGTTAGATTGATTAGCCACTGATCCTCCAGGATGCTTCTGTCTCCACTTCTAAGCACTGGAATTACAAACGCATGCTGTCACATCTGGAGTTTTACATGGATGCTGGGAATAATCAATCAGGTTTTCATCCTCACTTGGCAAGGACTTTCTTTACCTATTGAGCTATCTCTCCAGCCTCACACACATCATTTTAATTTTTTATAAATTAATGTCATTCCTGTTATAATCAGTTGCAAAATAATATCTCCTTTGGTCAGTTTTCAATTTAAGGAAACTGAACTCATTCAGCATGGCTAGATTTCCAAGTAAGAAAGAGTTTAGAATTAACTAAAAACATTTAAACTAGTATTAAATATGGACAATATATCTCCTCCTAGAGACAATATATAAATACTTTGGCACAATAATAAAGTTGGGCATAGTAGTTGAGACAATATAAATATACATTGGCGCAATAAGAAAGCTGGGCATAGTTGTAGAGGTATGCTTAATATATAACAGTTAATTTCATTTCAAAATACCGTCAATAGAGCTGGGGAGATTACTCAGCAGTTAAGAGCACTTGTTCTTGAAGAGGACCTGAGTTCAATTCCCTGCACAGCCATGGCGTTACAATGTCCCATAGAAGTTGTTTTTGGAATATCCCTCACCCTCTTTTAGCTTTCATCAGCACCAACGCTCACAAACAATAAAAATCTTTGAAAAAATTAAAATGTTTTTATAATGCAAACAGTAAAAAGGTTAACTAAAAAAAAACTGACAAAAATGTGTGCACAGGTGGCCAAAGAGGCTAAAAGAGGGTGTCAGATATTGCTCTGTATTTTGAAAAACCCTGAAGGGGCTGGTCACACCTCTCTAGATACATGGCCAGTGCATTAATTTCTCTCATTCTATACCGCAGTGAATTACTGAGCAAGGACTTACTCTAGTGTCACACAGATACATACTGTACTGTGACCAGGTCTTAACGCAAGTGAAACCTATGCATTTTTCCTTGTAGACTTTACCTTCAAAAGAAGCATTTTTAAATGCAACACAGATGCCTTACATGGAATCGCCTTTACATTCGGACAACTGGGAACAGAGTTCCAAGTCTGAGCTGTTAAGAGAACATGTTACAAAACTAGATTCCTCTTTTCATCCTGTGCTGTCACTGCCATCAGGTAAGCTACCTCATGAAAACTTAAGTATTTTTCATAGTGAAACATAATCTTTTAAGTACAGGCAATCTCCTAAAAATGTTTTGAGTTTTATTTTTGAAGAGGGGGATTGTTGAGACTTAGCCTTGGAACTTTGGATATTTTTGTTTAATTCTCATAATCCCATAAGAGCACATTCTGTTGTCCTTTTCATTTTATACATGAACACATTACACCTGGAGAGGTTATTGATCCAGTCATTCAGCTAATGAACAATGGAGCAAGGAGCTGAGGTACTTCATCACCAGATCCACATTCCTATTACCTTTTATAATGAACTAATTTGCTTCTTTCTTGATATAACTTGGAGGGTTAAGACAGCCTCATTCTAAATCATAACTCTGAGATCAGATCAATATATACGTATCCTCCAGACTCCAAGACCTCCTAGTCTAGTAAGATTAGCTTCTTTACCTACAAGCTAAAGCTTTGCATTCGACAAAAATCTCAGTAAATAGGTGTTCAAAGTATAAATAAATCCCTCATGGTACTTGTATTCTAGTTTTAATACCATATCTAAATGTAAGATATAAACAAATAAAACATTTTTTAAAAGTCCACAAGGTACTTTAGGGAGGTACATAGGAAGAACAAGGGCCAGCTCTGCATATGTCATGTTTCCCGCTCTCACAGTGGCAGAACAGATGGTATGCTTGTTAGAGCAGGAACAGGTCTTTAGAGAAACAAGGTTATATTTAGGCAACTGGAAAACAGCTCTTGAAAAGTTTAAAAAGAATTTTAAAGCATAGTATTTAATTTTTATTCCCATTTCATTTTTTCATGTTTTTGTAGCAAATTACATTTCTATTTACACATGGACTTGCCATTAAAGTCTATCTCTTGAGACAGCCAAGGAGATAAAAAAAACTTTAATCTCAGAACTAAGGAAGCAGATGCAGGCAGATTTCTGTTTGAGGCTAGCCTGATCCACAGACTACCTTTTAGTCTATCCTGAGATATATATATATATATATATATATTCATGAACATATGTATATATGTTCATGACTAATTTTGCATATTGCTGGCAAAACATTCAATAGATCAAAAGAAAAAGGCTAAAAATGTTTCTCAGGATGCATTTAGGTGTCTGTTATCCATGCTTTTGAAATGACTTTTTCTTACAGTCTATAAAATGAGGGTGTGTTATGTAGTTGTATGCACATCATAATGTGTGCATATAAATCAGAGATCAGTTCTCTGGTGTCAGTTCTGTTATGCTTGATGGGAATGCCTTTATCTGCTAAGCTAGCTCATTGGCTCTGGTTATACATTTATGAATGAAAAAAATCCTTAGTAAATATGAAGTCTGGCCTAGTAGGTTGGCTCAATAACCAGGTAATAGGAACTTAGAAAGCTGACAAGTGTTGAATCCATAGGACCCACAGTGCAGAAGGTCAGGTAAACTTCCGTGAGGTGTCACTGATTTCCATGCACCTACATTGTGGCACTTGAACAAACCTGCCACAATAAATTAATGTAATCTTGCTTTAACGTGGCTTAATTTTAAGTATAAAATATGTCAATATTTACAGTTTACTTTATGTGAAGGAAGACAGCTTCTCAGTGAATTTTAGTCTTTATACAACTAGTTTCACTTATGTTTGTTCATGTCACAGAATGTGAAACTTGTTCTCATATATTATGCTTGTAGCAGTGTTTCCCTATTTAACAACCATATAAACACATCATCAATTTAAATGTTTTCATAAAGATCTTTTGGGTTCATTTGTGTCTACTCATCTAAGCTACATTTATAATGATTCTTTTTACATACTAAAGGGATGTTAGAGCTACTCACCTGCTAGCTTCTTGTTTATTAAGTATACCAAATTACTAACTTTCTAAACACTGTTACCAACCTTGTTGGAAAAGTATTTTGATAACCTCTACTTCTCAACAATCTTACTGTGTAAATGTTTATTTTCTTAAGCTTATGTGCTATTTAGTAAAAGGAAATAAAATTAGTATTAGGCTGTAAGTGGTGTTCCTTGAAAATAATGTTTTCCTTTGTTTTTCCAGACATTCCCCTTCATTTTCATTTTGAGACCTTATTTAAGAAGACCAATGTAAAAGGAGAGCTTGCTGAAAATCCATTTGTAGGTGACTGTATCATAGCGCCACCATCTGGTACGTCACATTTACAAATCCTGTGCAGTTGTACGTTTTTTATGTTGCCCACATTTACTTTTTACATTCTAAGCAAATAAAATGTAACAAAATAATAAATGCAATTTCTTAATTTTTAACACATTTTCCCATAAGTCACACGCATAGACACAGACACACAAGCTTGTGAATTGCTTACTGTTTGAGGCAAGGCCTTCAGTCCTAGGAAGTGAGATGGGGAGGGAGAGGGTAGAAGGTGAGAGAGAATAGGAGAGGGAGACAGAGGGAAGAGAAGGGGAGAGGGAGAATGAATGTATGGATGAAAGAAAGAATGAATGAACATAGGAACAATCCTAGGATGCAATGTATGGTACCTATTGAATGAAAATTATGATGTATTGATAAGTAGAAAGTAGTATTATATGATAAATTAAGGATACCAGTTTGTTTTATTAGTTCAGATAATTATTGCATGTAAGCTGGAGTTATAGTAGAATTGGTAACTTTGAAATACCCCACAGCTCATCAGGAGTACTTGAGGGGAAAACATAAAGGAAAAATGTAGCTCAATCACATACAGAGAAAACCCAAAAACCATAGAAAGCATCGATTTTGTTTATATTTACAAAGAGTACAATCATGAAATTATCAAGAACTGGGAACCATTATAATATATAGCATTGGTAGTTTTTCTGGATAAAAAAGTTTAAAGACTTACTTCACAACATAAATCACAATAAATTGTAGCTGACTTCTATAATTTTAAGTAAAAAATAAAGTGTATATAATAAAACCTCAAGGAAACTATAATGAACTGTTTGAGTGCTCTGAATAGGAATGAAGACACTATGCTTAGAAGCAATATGAAATGGGGAAAAAAAGCATTGTCTACAAAGTTGTAAATTTAGTATCAAAATTTAGTATCAAAAGAAGGCAAACAGATTATTCTCAGGTAAAAAATTATCTGCCTGCAAAACTCCATAGTAAAATAAATATGTTAATTGGTTTTTATTAACATAAAGACCAGCTATTTTAGTGCTGAGGGGAACTGTGTGCTGCTTAGTGTTGAAAGATCCTGAGTTGAGTTAAGAGCTCTGGGAGGCAGAGGGAGAAAACTGACTTTAAAAAACCCCACCAACTTTTATAAATTACAGTAATATTTAGTTAGAATATATAAAGTAACAAAGTCTTCATTCAAGACATGACACTGTCTCTAGAGTAAAAAGCGTTTACCTTAAGAAAACTTTTAATAATTTAAACTTTTAAGGGACACAGCATGAAAGATGTTCCTGTATGGAGTATAAACTGCTCTGATCCGAAGACACTTTGTAACTTAAGATATCTGTTTTCTGTGTTTTGTTGTATACAAATAATTTTAATTAGAATCAGGAAAGGATGTTGTTGTTTGTTTTCTGAGACAAGGTTTCTTGTTTGTCCTGGCTGTCCTGAGCAAACTCGTTAGACCAGGCTGGTCTTGAACTCTCAGAGATCTGCTTCTCAAGTGCTGCAACAAAAGGCGTGCACCACTACACTTGACAGAAAAGTATTTTTAGAGGTTACATTTATTAAGAATTCTTTTTCTACAAGCCTAGCACTGAGGAAGCTTACAGAAGGGTTGCCAGAATTAGGGAAGCCTGGGATACCTATTGTATCCCAGTGGATACAAAGTGGGACACAGTGAGACAGCTCTGCTGTTCTCAACTCAGGGTCCTCATATCTCAGCTTCTTAAATCCTGGGGCTCTTAGCATTTGCCACCATGCCTAGCTGAAATATTCTCTTTGGACAAAATTATTCTTAAGTTTATCTCAGAGAAAATGTTGAAAGATATCAAATTCAATTTTGAAAAGATCAAAAGGAGATGTTCATATATTGAAATGCTTTATAATTATAAAGTATGATGGTACTGAACAAAAGCCAACTCAAAGCAACTAAATAAATATAAAACAAAAGGCTCAAGGACTTCCTGGGTGTTACTATAGTGTTGAAAGGAGGCTTTAGTCAATAGTTATCAATGACAAGAGGCTGGAGTAATGGCTCAGCAGTTAGAAGCTCATGTTCTTACAGAGGGCTTGAGTTTAGTTCTCAGCACCCACATTGTTGCTCAGAAGCATTTGTAATTCCACTTCAAAGGAATCTTATGCTCTCTTCTGATTTCCACAGGTACCAGTATGCAGATGATACACATACATTTATGCAGACAAAACACTCACACATAAATCTTTAAACCAATGACAAGAACAACAAATGCTTGATGTAGTCTTATATCAACACTATTGGAAGGTACAAAAAAAAGGACAGGTATCGTTATTCTTGAATAAGCAAATCACAAGAAGAGCTTAGAAGACTGGGTCAAAGGCTGTGTTTGAGTAATCACTTTTTATTTGTGCCCAGTAGAATTAAATATTGGCTGATTATGGTACCTTCTCATGTAGCACATTAAAACGAATTTTTGTATATATTTCAGATGTATCAAAGAGGAATACGCTAACAGTGTATTAAGAAAACTAGAAAATCTAGATCTTCCTGGTGATAGTTATAATGAAAACGAGAATATAACATTTACTGATGACTTGTGTATTAGACACTTAGTGAATGTTAAAATATTTTGCCTATTAATAAGAAACATTTTAAATAATTTCTATTGCTACAATAAAAACAGCAGTCTTGATTTCCCATGACACAGGTTATTTAGGAGGCACTAAGACTCACATAGAAAACTTTAGGACTAAATTTCTACTTTTGTAACTACTGAGAATATTTACTGAACTGCAAACTCTGTGTAATGGTCCAATTATTTTCAAAAATCTAGTCTAATATTAGATATAAAATTCTTATTCAGAGATGACTCAGCATTTTTTAATAATGTAAGATTAGTAACAGATATGACAGAGTTATGCTATTGGCTAATTATACTAGAATATGCAATTTTTAAAAATATCTTAGTTTCATCTGATGATGGAAACAAAGAATACTGCAATGTAATGGGAGGGTGTTTAACAATTAGTTATGTAAAAAGTTGTTATATAAATCAATTTCAACATAAAGAGTTGGTTGGAATTCTGATGAAGAAATTAGTTATAAACATAAACACTTGGAGGCCACTTCCAACCTGAGACTGGGTTTCTGTGTAGTCTGGGTTGTTTAGAAGCTTACTCTGTAGACCAGGCTTGCCTGGAACTCAGAGATCTGCCTGTCTCTGCCTCCCAAGTACAGGGATTAAAGGCCTGTGCCACCACCGCCAGGCTTAAAAAACACTAAGGGTGTTATTATCAAACACACTGTGTAGAAAATCCAAACATGAACATTGTTGTATATTAAATATTTTGTCATTTTTAATAAAGCATTGTGATCACTTAACTATACCTATACTTTTATCAGGTTTTTAGAGATTCATGCTGACATGATACATATAAAAAGTCTAGGTTTATTTTTAAACATTGCAGCATTTTAAAGGTTAGCAAGAGTGTGATGAAACAAGATTAGTCATTAGTTGATTATGCTAAAGATGGCTGCACATTCATGCGAGGTCATTCTTATAGTCTCTTTGTCTTAAAGTGTTTCGTAGTAAAAGTTACAAAATAAAAATCAAAACACCTAGGGCAAGAAGCAATTATCTATGCTTAAGATGACAGAAGCAGTAATGTAGGCTATGTTCAGGTCCTTTTATATGACATAATTCTACTCAATGATACTTATTCTGAGAATAAATTCTTTTTAAAAACCCAGAAATGCAGTATTCAAGACCGTTACAGGGGTTTCTCATGATGGTGGTGCTAGCTAACACCTATGGTCTAACAGCTATAGAACACCCAAATAATAGTCAGAGAAATGTTAGGCAACATCTGGATGATGAGTAGTAAAGTAGAAGATAAAAATAACTGCACATTTATATTCTAACTTAAATTGTGACTTCATATTTGAGGTATGTATGGGTTATCAAATGTACATGTTTCAGGGAAAGGGAATATGCAGAACTGAACATAGGATTTATTAGGGAAGGGGATTACGTTTCTTCTAATGGTCTACTGTTTTTCTGACTTAAAGGTAGCAGTATAAATGTTAGGAAATGAATTGATATTGAATTATCAATAATATAGTGATATGTCACATGCTGTCACATAAAATGGAAATTTGTAAAGGTATGAAGTAGAATATACTTGAGTTTTATGTTGCCAGGCTACTAGGCAAACCAATGCAATATTGTTTTGTATACTAGTTTCTTTTCCCCTATTTTATTCCCTACCATTCTCAATTCAAATAAGCATTAGGATTCTTTTGTGTCTTATATAAAAGTAGGTTCCACATTGAGAAGGTACTTGGTGCTAAGCAGACTATTAAGTGCTGAAAAATCAAAGGTAAAGCACAGGAAATTAAATACATTTTTAGATATTTTGTAAAAAGATAATAAAAATAAAATATAAATTTAATTTCCTTTGTTTTTGATTTTATACACACACACATAAAGCAAAGTAAAAAGTTAACAAGAATAACCATTATTTATGGGTGCTGCAAAGAAACACGGTAACAATCTAGACTAACTCTTCCTAAGACAAGGAAAAAGAGAGATTAAGGGGGATGAGAAATAGAGAGGAATTCCAGAAAGGTAAAGAAGCTAAGTGCCATTTTGGAATCTACATAAAGATGAAAGTTCCAAATGAGTATTCTTCAAACACAACATGCAAGCACATTACTTGAAGAATATTGTTAGAAGGCAGATTCAGATTCAAGAAGTTCAGTATGGGGCCCAAAACAACTGCATTTCAACTGTATCTCAGCCAATTTAGATACTGTCACAGTTGTGTAATATGTTAATATATGCAGTGTTGACTTGTATTATGTAAGACTTTAAATAATGGAAATAAACACATACTGTGGAGACTTAAGACAGTGTGCTTCCAAGTACTACAAATAGCCTGATATTTCTGCAGAATGAATGTGGGAGGTAAGCAGACAGATCTGGCTCACTACAGCACTTTATCCTGTCCTATCAGGGTTTATACTTACAAACTCATGTTGACTACAGAGAAGTAGGGTTAAAGTCAATCAGTAAAGTTGCATAAATACATGATTTGTCTAATCAAGAGGAGATGCCAGACAAAGCAACTGAAAGGCCACTCTTTACTAAAGTATTACAGGGTAAGAATAAGGGGGCAGAGCTCTTCGAGATAGGACTTTAAGAGAGGATCTAAAGAATGCATCACATGATTAAGAGTCCATAAAGATTACAGGGACAACTAGTGAATATGAGTAAGTCTATAAACTAGCTAGTAATGCTTTTCCTGATTCTTCACAACTATGTGGGTATATAAAAGATCTTGCTTTTGAGAAATATTGTATTTTTGGACCATTATGTCAGAAAGATCATTTTATACAGAAGAGGATCTGAATATTTGAATAAAGGGCATATGGCAATTCTTTGTATTGTTTCAATTGTGTGAATTTGAGTATGTCAAAGTTGTTGTATTTAATTTTTTTTAGCATGAAGACCTACAAGAAGTAAGAAAAGTATAACCTATAAACTTCTAAAACTCAGGACTCAGGCTACTTCATCCAATATAATCTTATAGGTTTTTTTTTTTTGAAATCTCTTTCTACATTAAGTCCAATACAATAATCTATTTACTCTGAAAGTCATTTTTAGTTCCCTTCAATCATCATAATCAATGATAGATTACAAACTGTTACCTGTATTTTAAGGTATTTTGAGGAATTAATGGAAGACCCTTAAACTCCAACAACAGAGACTGGATCCTGATTGGTGATTTTCACGGTGTTATTATTTTGCACCTTTATACAGGCTCTTCTGTCCTCTTTCCCCTCACTATGACCTACTAGGCAATGAAGATAATTAAAGGGTGATCTAGATGGTACTTGTTTAATACCAAACTGACAGTAAAGGTGTACAACTGAAATTGACATAAACTTTCAACCCTTTAGTTAATGCAAGCAATTCAGGAAAAACTCAGGGTTATTTCTTCAAATGCTCTTTTCCATTTACTCTGTTTGCTTATCCTTCCACTTTCTTTATTCTATTCATTCAAATGTGGAAGCTCTTCAAGCCCAAATTTTGATTTCTTGTAGCTGTTGCCATTTTGTTACATGACTCAACTCTTTATCATTATTAAATCTGAACCAGTATATTTTACATCTCTGAGATTGCTCTGCAAAGGCGTCTAGGACTTGTTTCTCTTCATTGTTTTACAGACCTATATTTATACTCAGAGAATACTTCAGAAACTCTTTAAGATAGTGCTTTCACTTCTTGATTGTTGGTTCATTTATGGTTTCTGTACTGAGATTTTATGTTTCTGGACTCACATTTGAAACTGTTATTTCATGCTAGCATTGTTTTACCACTATTATTTACAGTAATCATTTTTTAAAAAGCAGAGATTTGGACTCAAAATTATTTTTAGATTGGATTTGGGGCAACAGAACATTTCAAAGTGGGGCATGAGGTCCTTGCCTTAAGCCCATTTCTCTATGGAAAGCTAGATTCTGTTGCCTGGGTGATAAGCTCTCTAAGCAGTCAAGCTGAAATACTGGTTCCCACTGTCTACCAGATACTCCACGTCATTTCTCCATTGTCATTTTTATTCTCTTTCAGGTCAAGAAAAACATAGTATTTATCACATTTTTGTGGTAACCATTTTCCTTTGTACTTCTGCTTTGGATTTCTTCAGCTAAATTCCATAGGATGTTTTACAAAGATGCTTCATAAATTCTGATTTATATTCTTGTTTTTGCTGATAAATGTATGCATCTATGCATAAGCCTGTGTTTAAAAAATCTGGCTTGTCATTTTAGAGCATTATGCTACCTTGTAACTGGATTTGTGATAACTGTTAGGCTATGCCTTTTATTTTGTCCTTGGTGCGTTTTGATACTTGAGTCTACATACTGTTTTTTCTCTTCCATATTTCCAAGTCTTTATCCACTGGTTCTCCCAAGGAGGCTAAGATACTGACTAAACCAATACTTGAACTATAAGGTTCAGATACACAGCATTCATGATGTTAAAGCTAACATTTATGGCACATTTTCCATGGCAGATACCTATTTCAGGAGTTAAATTATTGAATCTTCATAACCCCCAGGGTGCCACTATTATAAATATATTGAAGAAACTGAGGCAGAGATACTGACTTAAAATTATTTTAGATTCATGTTTTAAAAGTTCAGTAACAGTGGTATCACTGTCATAGTTGGATGAAATGAGGTTCTTGCTTTCAGAATCCATGTGTCATGACATGTTGGTGCTTACTTGGTGTGGAGTATTTTCAGATTTAAGATAACAACCCCAGGGTTTCAACTGTCATTCAGTTAAGATTCACAAATCTCAACTAGTGTTCACTGATTTTGAAGACATTGAGAACAAAGCCCTTCTTTTTATCCACTTGTAAATAAGTAGAACAAAAATGGAAATTGGGCATTTCCTGAGAATATTTTTTGAGAACTCCTATTTTTTTTCATTTATTTTTAGTTTAGGAACCATTCATATTAGCAATTGAATTTTTATTTCATTTCATGTAATTTTGAAGTATACCATAAAATTTTAAACATTATAGGTAAAAACAACTTAGTTGTTCACTGTCTCTGTTAAAGGACAAAACTTCACGCTTCTTTTTGTTTGTTTTAGTACAAGGGACTTCTCTGACTCAGTGGAGAAATGGATATTCCCCTATGTGTAAGCCTCAGATAAGGTCACAGTCATCTGCACAACTGTTCCAGGGAAGAAAAAAGAGACACTTGAGTGAAACAGCAGTAGGTAGGTTAAATGAAGATGTGACCACTAGTGTTAAATACTGAAAATAAAAGTTGTATTTTTCAAAGAACCCTTGTCTTGTGGAAATTTATAATCCAGAACATTCACTAACTACCTAAAACACCTTACCTACCAAAAACTACTTAAAACTACCTAGAACATGAGTATACTCATGTACTTAATTACGAGTTTGATAGCTGGTATCGGTGCACTTTATGTCAATTACTTGTTTCTGTGTTCCAATTACTTGCCTTCTGTCAGCTGTTCTCTGCACAGGATTTAGTCTCCGTGGACTCAGAGTAGGTCAGTAGAGGTTACCTGATACAAACTTATGAGTAATACTAAATGTCTTAGATTTTGAGAAAGTAGTCGGGATTCAGCTGAGGAACTTCATACCCCTTTTCAATTCTCCACAGTCTCCCACTTATATGTATCAGATTAACAAAAGGAACAAAAGGTAGTATTTGAAAACAGCTGTTCTGATTGTATCCAGCCTGAGTTGTTGTGGGGACTTAGGAAATGACACTTATATAGTTGTTGTTCATGATAAAGAAGAAAGTCACAAGGTATATATTTTGAAGAGAAAGTAATCTCTGCACATCTGGTAATTGTGTGTCCTAACACACATCATATTCATGAGTCAAATCTTTCCCAGATGTTATATTTCAGTAACATGGACATACTCAATAAATTAGAAACTAATCACATTAAAAATGTACTGATTATTATAATTTTATATAATGGATCTACATTTATCTCTAGTGTCTTTAGAAATTTCACTTTAAATAACAGATCTATAATCATTATAATCTGACCAAACACCGTGGCAGAAAATGAACAAGCTCTCAAATGCATCTAGAGGTTTTTTTTTTTTTTTTTGCATCTAGAGATTTTAAGTGTCTCTTAAGAACAGACAAGCAAAGATCACCTTTTAAGGAACTTTCATATATACATGCCAAAATATAAGGAAAATTGTAATTTCTTAATAACATAGACTACGAAATATTGATGAATTATCTAAATAGTAATGAGTGATAGATTCAAATTTAATGAATATAAGGAGATATTAAAAAATCAATAAAATGATATATTACAAATAAATAAGTAGATAATTACAAAAAGTAGATAAATTAGGCATCTCCCTAATAAGACACTGCCCTGAAAAATGAATCCTTCAGGGATAAAAAAACCCAAGACAACAATTATCAATTTCAATATGTGAATTTTGATTTGAAGCAACTAACAGTTAATAAAGAATATTTTTTACAACTGAAGAAATGTAAATATAGTTGGTTTTACTACATTTAAAATTATGAAGAAAATATTTTTAAATAACTCATATTGAATTCAAATATACATTAAATGAGTGAACAGAAACACAAATATACTAACAAAGAATAAAAATCAGAACTTGATGAAACATGTAATACTAATGAAAGCATATAGCAAATTAATATTGTGAGTAAATGAATTTCATTCATAAAACAGCTATAGGATATTATATTAAATGAATACCAGAAAACAAGAACCTTTAGAATTTATGAAAATTAAATAAAAATAAATGAAATTCAATAAAAATAAAAACTCAAGACAGTTAACTTGAGGAAATCTCACGGAAGGTAAGGAAGCAAAGATAAGGAAAAAGGACAAGAAACCTAAGACCAGTCTTGACAATGCAGCCTGAATGGGACATGTTAAAAACAAGACTAGGGAAAAGACAATGGGGAAGGATACTCAAGAACAATATAAAATGACCTAGCAGAGAACACTGAGGCCCTACAAATACTCCGTAGCAGGAATATAAGCAAGACTCTTGTTTTATAATTTTCTTTTGTTTTCTGATTGTATCCTTAAAACCTAGCAAACAAATACAAACAAAACAACTATCTCTCACTTATTTTGGAAAGTAATTCTAGTACAGTCATTTTTAACATGTGACATTCTGAAGGGTTCTTTCCATAGCAGGAGAAAGAACTAGATTTGAAGAATTTACTTTTCAACGTACAGAACCAGGATCCCATTGCGATTTTACTGCAGCCTCTAATACCAATGTTACATCAAGAACTCAGAATTCATCCTCACAAGTAGGTTGTTTTTAAATCTTGTAAATTCTAAACTAGTTTTATACATATTTAAGAAATAAAACAAGCTGATAAAAAAATCGCTGTATATGCCAGATCTATTTACTAATATGTTTTATAACTATTTTACTAGGAAATAGTAAATTTGTTAAATAAGTCATTTTTACTTGGAGGCAAGCAGCTCATTCTTTGATTATGTTAAAATCTTATGACCATCTCTACTGTTTCATCCAAAGATAAACAGTTTTGCAAATGAATATATGGGATTTGTGTTGTTCTTTAATGAATTTATTTATGTATTTATGTATTTAATTATTGGTGCCCAGGAGTAGAGAGGTCATGGGCAGGCTGAAGCCTGGGCCAGAAGCATCTGTAGCAGCCATCTTCACTCAGAGGCTTCTCAAATTTCATAGCCTTTCAAATAATTATATGTGTTTCTTAAACTCAAAATATGCCTTAATTGGTTTTCTTAGCATTTTATAATCACATCATTGACAACAATGCATTTACAAAAATGGTGTCACAGATAAACTATGTATTATTTTTATATAACTAATGAAAGAATGTCACCACATATAACTAAAACATTACTGTAAGTCAGTACAATAATTCTGTGTTACAGAATACTCGACGGAGGTTAAGAAGTGAGAGCTCTTACGATATAGATAACATTGTGATTCCCATGTCGTTAGTAGCACCAGCTAAGTTAGAGAAACTCCAGTATAAAGAAATACTTACTCCACGGTATGTATACTTACATCAGTTTTCTTTCTTCTTCCTTTAATAAACGTAAATTCAGAGTCAAGTTTTAACTAAAAGGAGAATGTTCCCCTTCCCTATTTGCATAGAAAGGAAACGGTAAAAGGAAATCTTACATTAAACTGATTAACTTTAGCATTCAAAATAGATTTTTACTTATTTATATTTAAATATCTGTTATATATGTTTATTAGCATGGTATTTCAGCAGTGTAAACACTACAATAGACAGTTCTTGCTTTTATGATAGAGATAGACTTGGTTGCAAAGAATCCAAAGAAGAAAGCAACTGTATTTTCATGTGTACTCACCCTGCTAAGACAGTAATGCTTGTAAACAAAAGATGAGCTTCTGAATTATCTCTAATTCAGCAATAAAAAAATCAAATAGAAAAATGAAAGGGAGTATCTAGGAATTTAATCCATAATAGTAAAGATGATTATTTACATAGACTCAAGTGTGCAAGGCCTAGCCAGACACAGAGATTTGGAATAATTGATGTATGAAGGCTGAGCTAGGAAAGAATCAGACTAAGCCACCCCTCAAATCCATGAACAGATCTGCATCCACTGGCAATGAAGTCAGCCATGTTTTATAGCAACAATGAAAGCAATCACTCTTAGATATGAAAATAACACTAGGAATAGAAAAAGTTGGAGACGAACACATGGCTAGGTAACATTTGTATTAATTCCCACCCATCTCCATTTTAATTCTGTAAATTCACTGACTACTTCACAGTTCATCTGAGGAAATTAGTCTGGCACTCTACGAGTAGGCATTACAGGATTGACATTTTCTAAAATAAGTGTTGTTGTGGTTAATAGTGTTACATAGCAACAATGTTTTCAACTCACAGCTACTAATTCAAAAGGAGGCAGGATACACATTTCCATACCAAAGAAAACTGGAAAACACTGAATCAGGCCAGATTTCTCCTCTAGTTTGCCCAAGCCAGTTTATCAGCTTACCAGTAAATTAATCCAAAGACAGCACATAATTAGAAACTACAACTATATACAAGAGATTATTCACTAGAAGGTATAGAGATTCATTCATCTGTTTCCTCTTACTAAAGCTTTTTTTTTTTCTGTTTACAATGTCAAACTATGAAAATACAGCCATTTGAATTATGGAACTCTTGAGAAAATAAAGCCCTAATGTATTTAGCTGTGTTTAGAAAATAAAATTGCTATATTTGGATAAAAGCCGTTTGAAATTCTTTTGCATTTTCAACAGCTGGAGGATGGTTGTTCTTCAGCCTCTTGATGAACATAACTTAAGCAAAGAAGAGGTAAGCTGCCAGTGTTTAATGTGATAATTGTACCTTTCATATTCTAAAGCCTAAATCATCTGATATTTAAATATCTAAAAGGAAATATAAAGTATATGACTTTTTAATTTACAAAAATAACTCTTAAAAGGATAATATTTTTAGAAAAATATTCCTTTGCAAATTTGACTGCAAAAGCGATAATATGAAGCATAATGTATCTCCCAAACCAAACCAAACCAAAGGTAGTGTGGAATATAAGTAGTAGTAATACCAAGATGCAAGGACAGTCCTACCAATAACTAAACAGTAATGCTTTTGTAGTAAAATATTCACAACAAAGGGGATAAAACAGTAAAAATAAGTATTGTCACAGCATTTCAAATCAGGCTGTGAATTATATAAAAAGCTCTGCCTCCCCCCCCCCAAACTATTGGATACTAAAATTATTGGTAAAAGATTCTAAACCTGTATCGATAAGAACATTAAGTATAGTGGTGGAAATCAAAACACTGTATGAAACTCGAAACTCTCAAAGAACTAATGAAAGGAAAAGAACAATTAGAGGGAAAAATACTGTATAACAGCTAATTCCAAGGTGATGGTCTTTAGAAGAAAATTAGAATTATGTAGAGGTCACACACATAGTTTCTTTCGATTTATAGTGCTTCTATGTCCAATAGTCTTGTTTCTGTTGTTAATTCACTTTGCTTTTTTGTTGCACTCTTGCTAAAGTCAGAATGATAATTGCCAGGAAAACCAAATTCCCTAGAGGTATCCAGTTAATGAAGTCAGTTAACTAAACTCTGATTTACCTCAATCAGTTTTACATTTTTTTTCTGACACTGACATATTTTTAGAGCACTGGAGAATGAATAAAGTTTAAGAGTATTTTTTGTAGATTGGGTAAGATAGTACATAGCTGTCATCTCTGCGCTCCGGAGGCTAAGGTAAAGAGTGTATATCCAAGTTCACCTCAGTGCAGCAAGAGCCTGTTCCCAGAAAATAACAAAGCCATTCCATAAGCTGTGGCAAATGGAGAGCATTGGGGATCCATTTATAATCTAGGTACATATTAAATATGGGCCAAGAGCAGGATGTTTTATAAAGCTTTGTGCTCATAAAATGACTATTTGAACCCCCCTTTTTTTGTTTCAAAAATCTTACCAGATAGAAGATCTTTCTGATGAAGTCTTCTCCCTAAGACACAAAAAATATGAAGAGAGAGAGCAAGCTAGGTGGTCACTGTGGGAGCAGAGCAAGTGGCATAGAAGAAATAACAGGCAAGTATTTCAAGTTTAAAACACTAAAGCAATATATGAGGAATGAACAGAAACTAGTCATAAAATCCAAGAAAGACCACTGACAAGGAAATCAAGCATGCAATATCAGCTGTTGTGTAAAGTGGCACCTATATACAAACTTACATTCAAAATATACCTGGGAAATTATATATGTTAAAACTGAGTTTCTAGTACTTTATTTTCTCATGTGCTGCTAGTCATGGTATCATACTTACCTAGCAGATATTAGGAGCATGTCATTTCATACAGACATGGTGGCACATGCCAATAATTAGGAGGCTGAGGCAGGGGACTCTCCAGTTTAAGACCAGTATAGACTGCACAGTGACGACCTCTTCTCCAAAATCTAAAGGCAGGTCATTTCAATGTACTTTAAACAGTGAATCCAGCATTAGCTACTGGTGTTTAGGGTAATGCATTTTAGCAAACCCTCAAGAATAATACTTAATTGAGAAATTTTATTTTAGTATTAAAGGCAAGTAGTTCATGGAACTTTAAAAAATATAAACATAGGATATGGGCACATGCTCAGAGTTCCTGAGGCAGGATAATCACTAGTTAGAACATGTGCTGTAAAGCCAAACTCATACTCAAAAGTCAGATACAAGCCCATAAGAAGACTTCGGGAGAGAATAATTATGATAGAATTAATAATTATCTATTTGAAAATACCTGTAGTATTTTTGCAGTTACATTTCCTTATTTTTAATATAACCACAACTAAAAAAGCAAGTTCATGTAAAAATCTAGCTGTCTTCTCTCTTAAGGAACATCTGTCAATTAGTTAAATAATATTAAAGTCCTTTCTCTGCTTAGCTATTCAGATATACTCAATCTTTGTTGAAAGAGTTTTCTTAATAGAAATGAAACTTGAGGATTCTAGTTTTTTTCTACATTCTAGATACGACTTTCCAGAAATACAGAGGAAAAATGTGAACTAAGGCTTTGATGTATATTAAAACAATTATAGAAAAACCCAAGAATTCAAAGGCTATAAAGGTCAAATACATGGTCTTTTCTGTCTTGTAAAAATCAAATAACTGTAACTATTATTGATAACTCAATGAGGATGAAGTACTACATTTAAACTTTGGATAACAACCTTTCATAAAAGCACTGGGAAGAGCATCGCATGACCTTGAGCTGAGAAGACAGTACTGACTTAGTGATACCCTGTATTCCTTTATTTCCTTGCTAGAGCTTACAGTAAAAACTTGGAAGGGCAGGACTTGGTTCTGAAGGAAAACCCCAGTGAACTTAGCAGTGCTCAGCAGTGTGCTGCCGAGAGCCCCCGTGAGCTCCCAGCAGAGAACCCCAGTCTGTGTGCTCAGGACTCACTTTCTTTAAATGATAGTCAAGAAATCAAGGTAAGCCTAGGTTATATGATTGCATTGTATTTTAATTACCTTTTAACTTCATCTCACTTATGTGTAGAAATTTATTGTACATTGTTTTATTACGTATCAAACTCAGTGAGACATTCAGTCTAGCATGTCCATGAAGGTACACAGTTGGAGTACCCTAATTCCATGATATTAGCAATTTTTTTGTATTTTTAGTTTTTTGGGCATAGCGAATCAGTAACAACTGCCACCTGTCTACTTACTTACCTGTTAGCAAATGGGGATTCCACTGCACTTTTCATATAGAACAAAGCTGATCACTGGAAACCGGCACATGGTATATAGTAAGCACAGCTCTGTTTCCCTGCTTCTCGCAAAGGGTTTCACTTGATCCACACAAATCCAGCTCCTACTTTACAAGAGTATATCCCAGAACTACACAAAGCTCACACTTCTATCCCTATAAAGTCTTGAAAAATAACTAGATCAAGAATGGACGGATTAATATGCAAGTTGCAGAAATAGCCAATGTATATCTGTGATAACAATGAGGCAGAAATGAAGTACAGCAAAAGGAAGACACCCTTAAAGGGTTCTGTGGCAGTACTTGCTTTTCCTTAGTAAAGAAATAATTCCTTAAAGTCAAGAAATTCTCAGTATATTCCACTTTGACATGAGAGGGAACAAAAACCTAAACTTAGATGCTCAAAGAGTAATTATAAAAACTGACATTACAAATTCCTTAACAAATAATGAAATTAGGTGAAACTTAACTGAAAATGTTTCCCCTTTCAGTCTCTGTGGTGGGAGCGACGAGCCTTCCCGCTGAAGGATGAGGATGCAGCAGCCTTATTGTGCCAAGATGAGAGAAAGAATGAGACTGAGGTGGTGAGCACAGCCGTCTGCGACGACGTCTTCTGTAGCACTACACCAGAGAATGGCCACCCTCCAAGAATGCAGTTAGATGGGATGGAAGAGTATAAAACCTTTGGTATAGGAGTTACTAATGTTAAAAGAAATAGGTGACAGAGAATATATTAAGAAAACTATGTAACTGAAAGGAAAAGAGGGAAAAAAACCTAAACCCTCTTGTGGATCTTCCACTTCCTCTAGTCACGATTCCAGAAAAGGAGGATGTGTTGCATGTATCCATCTTCCACTGTTCATGAACCAGGCCAGAGAAGTTTCTTTCTCCTTCTTGAATCACAGAAGTAGATAGCTTTTCACCTACACAGATGCTAGTAACTTGTGTTTGTCAATAATACAGATCACAAGCACTAAGCTATTAATTGCTGCAATTTGATGACAAATCATACTACGGGGTAAGAGTCCCGGCTTGACAACACAGTTGATTTGCATCAAATGACAACTATTCTTTGCTTCTACTCTCATGGCAGTTCACTAAAATTGCCTCAGTAATATATGAGAATATACTAGTGTGTATACAGAACACACACACACACATATACATACACACACACACAGTCTGGAAACTGCATGTATCAACTACTCTATGCAGTGTAAGTTACCATGAATATTGAGCACAGGTGTTGTGGACTGAAACAGACATCTGAAAGCTTGGACTACGGAGGGGGAGTTGTTTTTTCTTTTATTCTAAAAGTTGTTTAACCAATATAAGTTATTTATATAAATTCTTATATCAGATAATTCAATATTCATTTATTTGAAATCATTGTTTTCTCTTGAACTAACCACAGACTTTCTGCTTACTCCTAACAGAATTAAGAGAAACAACTTAAGAGTTTAATATATTGATACATTTTAAAACTATTGTCTTTGAAAATTCATCCTGTTTTATTTGCTTTATGTGCCTCTTCAAGACAGCAATTTAAAATGCAAAACAGCATACAAATCATAATATGGTTGTAACTCTAGCTCATGTACAGCTAGAAGCTTTAAATTTGGTTTCTCTTTGCAATAGCTTACTCAAATATCTACTCTTAATAGGCTCCTAGATCAAGAATTCAAGTTTTTCAAAGACTAAGACTTTAATATAGAATACTGAGGAGTGTACATTAAAGAAAATTCTTTCCAGAGATATAATAATACCATTTTTTCTAGATGAAAGTTAAGGACAATTTGTATCCACCACTTTTTGTTATACAAAGAAAAGTGATTCAATTTGTAGTTACCATAGTACTGAAAATCTGGCCACTGGGGTTAGTGTCTGTGGGATTAGATACTGAAGATTTTGTTGAGGATCAGAAATTAAACTGGTCTCTGCAAAAAGGGAGTAGGGGAACCATTCAAATTCAATACTTACAAACTTTTGCTTATAGTTTTACTGTACATTTATTTTTAAAGAAAAAGATAACAAAAGCCAGAAAAATACAAGTTGTCCCAGCAAAAAAAATTTCAAATCTTTGTCATGACTGATATTATAATCTTCTACATAGTTTTTTAATTAAAGTTATTTCTATATGCCTTGTACTGTGTGATTTGATTAAATATTATTACTAATAGTACACTCTTTTCCTAAGCCAAAATAAAAACAAGTATTAATAAACTTTACCTTAGAGGGCAGGAAAAAGCCCCAGCAATCTGTTTTATGCCTACATTTGTCAGTATTCTTATTTTTTAAAATCTTATTTATCAAAACTCATAGTAGCCTTAAGAGATTTACTGATACTGGTTTGTTCTTGTCATATTCAAGAGTAAGTGTGAAGTTGCCAATATGTATTTTCAGTCTCTTGGTAACTGGGAACACTAAGTATTTATTATTAATACTTAGTTCATAGATGTGAAGTCTGTATCCTGTCTTCTCTTAGCCTACTTCTTCTTTCTTAGAAATTATATGTACATCCTCCGGGTCACATCTCTAGTTCCAGAGTATCCTTGGCTCACTCTGACTCTGCTAGAGGGTACAGTTACACTAAAAACAAAAAAGTAAAGAACCTTTCTTGCTTCTAACCCACCTCTTGGGAGCTATTTGTAGTCAGAGCAGTAGGACATACCAGAAAGCCTTCTTACTGAACCCTTTCTATGTACTAGCCCAAAAATACCTGCCTAACAATTATAGGACAATCTAAGAGTTAATTAAGCACAATCAAAGTGCTTAATAACTTACAAAACATACACAATGCTTGCCATTTTGTGTTGATCATCCCCTACAGTCTACGAGTAGAACTATAAACTTTACAATATCATGTTATGCTTTTAATTCTCAACACATTCAACATATATGAGTTGGTAGTGAAAATAGGTTGGGTGATTTTTATTAAGATCAAAGAGCTAGAATGGGGCCAACCTGAATTCAACCCAGTGGAGCTCCCAAGAGAGACTATATTGTTCCTTTCTGCTCAGAGCCATCACAACGTATTATTTCACAGCCCTCATGGGGGTTGAGTGAGAACCAGGAGCAGGGAGGAATTACTGGATAGTGCGCTGTGAAAAAGACAATACCTTGATAAAGTCTGTGCTTACATATCAGAAACCCTAGGCTTCAAAAATTATTTTTATAGTTTTTAATAAACCAAGTGTAAGATTAAAAAGTAAAAATGTTTCAGATGCCAGACCATGACATACCACCCCACCAAAGCTTCTGATTTTTGTCCCATTCCATTCATATTCTCAGACATATAAACAAACCACAAATGACACGAAACATAAAATATGGATGTCATTTGCTTAAACATAAAATATGGATGTCATTTGCTTTAGGAATAAACTGGGGAAATAACAGAACATTCTTTTTAAAAATACAGAAAAATGGTTTTCATAGTAGCTAATTTTTCTCTTTAGGCACTGAGACACATTTCTGTCTGTAATCATAAAACTGTATTTTCACTCTTTACAAAAGTCATTTCCCAATATAAACATGGATATTTCATCATGCTAACCTCTAAATGGCATCACTAAGAAGGTAGTTATTTCTAACCTCTTGAACATCCTGCACAATTGATTTTAATCACTGGAATGCAGCAATGCTTCAATTCGATTCAATGTGATTTGGTAGTGAATATTTCTCTTTTCCAGTAAAAAAGATTTCATGAGCAGAAGCCAGGTTCCTGTGACTTCACCGATCAAGAGAACGTTTCTGGGCAGCTTCTGAACAGACATTTCTTAGTAAGTTGATTACAGATCTGGGGTCGTCACTCCTCATGATGGCACTGCCAGACACAATCATGTTAGCTCCTGCCTGCAAGAAGTACACAGCTATGTTAGCGTGGAAGAAACCAGTACAGAAGTCCTGGAGTAGCCTGTCCACCCTGGGCTCTGCCAGTGCTTTCCCAGAAGCTGACTGCAGCACTCTAATTCACTGAGTTACAAAGAGAAAATGTTTATAAATAAGGCCACACAATTACTTGTAAATGTGTCTACCAAAAGTTACTGAACTAGTGGGTTAATTAGTCCTAAGATGCACACAGTACTGTTGCCAATTTTTAGACAGAGCTTTCAACTTTTAGATCCTCAATTCCATTTATGCTTTTCCCAATGCATACCAATGACCCCAGACACTAAGGCCTGTAGACACCGTAGCTGTTTGTTTCTAGAAAGTCTGAAGGGAGTCAATGTGAAATGAGAAGCTATCCATAAAACACTGGGAACATTGGTGCCTTGTCATTTTGTGTCAGGAAGAATGTAAAAATGCGTCTTTATGCTTTCTTAGACTCCAGCATGGCTTACAATGCTTTAGAAAATTCTCCATGGATGACATTTTTAAATGTGGAGGCAAAGAAATGGGGGTAAGGGGAACACCCTAAAAAGCTCAAATGAGATAGCTCCAAATATAGCTCTGGGCCAGGGATCTGAGCTGAGGCAAACCCATTCTGTTGTGTAATTCACTGTTAGAAGCTGGAAAATCACATGCTGAGGAAATTTCTCCAGTGAGACCCAGTCACCTGATAGTAGAGCGTCTATTTCCAGTATCATTCTTTAGAATCTATAGGACTATTGATTAAAATGTCTCTTAATTTAAGCAGTACTAGCACCGCAGAACTTAATAGGATCTAATAGGTAATGTGCTCAGTGATCATCTGTCCAGTCATTTTCAAAATATTTATCACTGACAATTTTTTTTTAAAGCTAGGGTCTTGTCAGGTAGCCCATGCTGGCCTGGAACTTACAATTCACATTCCTCCTGTCTTTCCTGTGTCTGCATTCTCAGTAACTGCCAAGCTTTTGATGGTTTGTATTTGGCAGAATAAAAAGGAACCATGAACTTATAATCACCTGCAGTTCTCCAGGAAGGGCTGTCAACTAGTGACCATGTGACCTACTGTCACCTGCAGTTCTCAGGGCTGCCACCTTGTGATAACCAGGAGCAGAACTAAGTAGGGTAGCTCCCTAGACAAAACAGGCTTAGCTTGGCAAATGGGAACTAGGCCTTGATTTTCAACAGAAATAGATCTAGTCATTTCTTACAAGACGCAAACAGGTAGCTAACACTTTTAAATTCAAAGAACAGCATGAATAGGCCAGTTAAATTTCTCTATTTTTCTTCAGTCAAGAAGGTATCTTTTTAAAGAACTTAATGGTTTTGTGAAGGGCTAACATTCAACACACTCTTTCTGGAAACCAGAGTTTACTATTTAACAATTTATGTATTTAGAAACACTCTTGTTCTTTACTTTCCTAATCCTACATTTGAACCAAAAATATTTTCCCAAGAAAAACATCCATTTGAACAATTCTTTGGTGACAAGCCTGTCCCGCAGATTGCTCTCCAGGAGCAATCACAGTTGAGGGGCAGTCTCACCTCCGCACACTTCTGAACAGTGTCAGGACCTACTCCACCATCGACCTCTATATCCAGAGTTGGGAACTGGGTCCTCAACCAGTGAACCTAGACATACACGAAGAAACAGTGACTCCTACAGTGGACAGGCAGGGTAAAGTAACCAAGCACATAAAGCGTCATCGTTGACACAAGCTTAGCACACATGCAACATTATTGGGGGTCACTTTCAATAGACTGAAGCATATTATGTCTATAAAAGTAGTTTAGCAAATGACATTCAATTTGTAATAGCTTTGTAAAGACTCTAATGAAAACTCTCAAGTGACCCAAGGTCATAAAAATAAGTTTTAAAATTTTGCAATGTAGTTAAAATATTAGACTTTATTTTAAAACCTATCATAGTGTATTACAGTATCTGAAGGCATCTCTGTTCTCTCATCTCCAAATCAGGCATATCTCAATGACACATGGTAGTTATGTCTACTGAATACACATTTATAATAAAAGCCTAACCCCAGAAGAGAATATTTCTTTTACCTTGGGCATCATATCTTCCATGAACTTTTGGCCTCCAAACCCAGGTTCTACCGTCATTACCAAGGCCATATCTATTTGATTAGCCCATGGGGCCAAATATTCAACTGTCGTTCCTGGTTTAATGGCAAGGCCAACCTGCAACAGACAAATGCTAAACCACATCATTTCCCTACTGGATTATAGTGACCAAGTTTTTTTTTTTTTTTTTTAATCAACTTATAAAACAGTATGCAAATCATTCAGAGTATGACATCAGTGTTTGATTTGGATCTATTTTCCTTTTTTGATTTTTAACCCCCCCCAAAAAATACTTTTCTTACAATATATTTTGATCATGCCCTCAACTCCTCCCAGTTCCTCTCCACCTACCCAACTTTATAGTCTCTCCTGCTTTTGCTTAAAACAAAAACAAAAACAAAACGTGCCTGGCCACAGTGGTGGCACATGTATATTTTAAATACACATTTTTTAAATTTTTTAATCCCAGCACTCATGAGACAGAAGCAGGTGGATCTCTGAGTTTGAGGCCAGTCTGGTTTACAAGGTGAGTTCCTAGATAGAGCTACACCAAGAAACTCTGTTTTGAAAAACCAAACCAAACATGCAAACATACACAAAAACAAAAATCAAACAAACAAACAAAAAATAGACACCCCCCCCAAAGCTTACCTCCAAATAAACAAACAAAAACATGGAGTTCTTTTGGCATTGGTCAACTACTCTTGGGTATTGCGCCTACCTTAGAGTATGGCTAGTAGATCCAGTAAAACTCCTGTAAAAAACTGATTTTCTCCTTGCCAGTGGGTACCAATTACAAATAGCTTCTTTTTCAGGAATTGACACTGTGTAACTACTCCCTCTCTCAGTGATATACTTAAGCCAGATAGAGTACTAGCACTATTTTTGTTTGCTTTTATTTTTGTTTATCTTTAGATAAAATGGCCATTAAATGTGAATGATTCCAGGGTAGTGACCTTCAGAAACATAAGTGGAATAATAGCTTACAAACATTTTATATTTTAATACTGGACTCCAGCTGCCCACATCCAGTCGCTCCCCTGTCATTTTCCCCCACCTATCTTTCAATCTTTGACAAGCACTGCTATAAAATGTGACTCCTACCATCGACTTACCTTCATCCCATTCTCCCGGATGTCTTTAATCAAAGCTCCTGGGTTCTCAGTTGCCTCAAGATGAAAGGTAT